TCCTACCTCAGTTAGGCTGAGCCATCAAGTAGAGTAGTGGACTTCCTGCCTACCCATCCTCACACCAAAGTGCCAAGTCAGAGGGTGTTCCCCATATCAAACAAAATCAGAAATTGCTGAAAAATACTCAGCAGCTCTGGCAGCATCTGTGGGGAGAAAGCACAGTTAACATTTCGGGTCCAGTGACCCTTCTTCATGAGTTCACTCTCTGTCTGTGGAGACTGCTCCTTTTAAGGCCTTGTGAAGCCTTGTTAAATACCAAAAGTTAAACTGCTGGTTATTCAGAGTCCAGTTCCACTTGTTCTTGGGCTTCATTGCCAGACCCTATTGGCTATAACAAGCCTTAGCAGAACACATCTTCTGTGAATCTAGTTCAGGCATTAGTGAGCAACCAATAATACAATAAATAACTAATCCCAGGAAAACCATAACTCGGATGTTATTTGTACCACTCCCACTGCTTAGAATGGCCACATTAGTACTAATTTCATTTATTCACTATCAACAATGAATAGTAAAGCCTATCTCCACTGCTGTGATTCCTTTGGACCTTATAGATGCCCAAAAGATGAGTGCAACACCTACAGCTGTCACGAAGCCATGCACCTCCCAGGCAAAATAGCCCATTTAATTGGCACCATCACATCCACCATTTTCATGTTTGACCCCCTTTCAGCACTGACATAAATTGCTCCAGTGTTAACCATTTACAAGATGCTCTGTAACTCAACAATCCTTCTTTGACAGCACCTTCCAAACTCATGACTTACACCATCTAGAAGGACAGCAGATGCATGGGGACTATAACCACCTTCAAGTTCCCTTCCAAGCCATTCAAAGTCCTGACTTATTCCTTCACTGTTGCTGGGTCAAAATCCTGGAATTTGCTTCCTGACAGAACTATGGAGGTATCTACACCATATTGGTGGCAGCAGTTCAAGAAGGCAGCTCACTACCACCTTCTCCAGGGCAATTAGGATGGGTAATAAATGTTGGGTCAGGCAGCAATGCCGACATCCTATGAACACCTTAAAGAAAGATTGCTGTTAGATGCTGCATCCGCTGATTTCCTGTACAGGATACAGACATGTCTGTGACGAGAAAATTGTGAGAGAGACACTTAACAGCACTGATACTTCTTTTGATTGGTTGGAGTCTGAGTGTCTCAGTTGGGAGTGTTCATTCCACTAGTTGAAAGTTCAAATTTCAGGTTCAAATTCTACTCAAATTCTGTTCATACAGGAGTGGAACTGTGTTCATGAACTGCAAAATGCTTCCAACACTCTGCATCACTTGTCAAAGGAGTTTGAAGTTATGCAAACTAAACCCAGAGTCACTTATCAGAAATAAATTCCAAAGATTATACATTAACAAATACTGTGCAGAGGATTAATGAGATGCAAAGAACCATCCTAAACAGCTACAGCATTTGATGTATAATCTGTGCTAATTGTCCCTTACATACTAGCAGATGCTTCAGGCTATTTGCCTGCTTTAGGTAACTGTGCCTGATTAGTACGGACAAAGTAAGTGATGCAGTGTGTGCTGCATATGATCCTACCTGGGGTATCACGCTATGAATGAATGTGATAATCACACATAATGTAGATTGTCTCAGTTCATCCAAAATGGCAAAAGCAACCTGTTTATTTAATGCAGTAGTCCAACCATCTCACAAATCATTCCACACCCCCTGCCAACTCATGCTCCTTAACTTTACACAAGCTAATTTTCAAAATGTATTTAACTCACAGTTTTAATATGAAGCTGTAAATAAGCTTGTTAAAATTCTGCATGTACACAAGCTCATGTTTTCAGGCACTTGGAATCTAACTGAGCCAAGGGCCACTCTTTGCTACAATCCAGCTTTGGCGTTCAGTGTCTGAAATAAATAACTTTGCAAACAAATCTTATCAGCTTTTTTTAAACAATTGAAGGAGCTTGGTCTGGTTTATATTATTTTGTAAGTCACATGCAACACATTAGATAATTGTTGCATGTGACTTAGCATAGCCTGAAGGGAGATAAATAGATTTAACCTGGATGGAGCAAGTTATTTAGTACATGTTTGTAAGTGCAAGATTACAGCATTCAATTCATAGAACACAAGGGGATGAAACTGCTGCAGGAGTTCATACACTGGAAGCCAGAAACTTTCTCGTGAGCACCAGGAATATAGTGTGATATTATAGACTTCAGAATTTTAATAACTGTTCATGGACTGAAGGAATCAACCAAGATAAACTGTTATACATGGTCAGAAGTTGCACCTGAAGTCTTCACCTGACAAAGAGCCAGCGCTGCGAGAGCTTGTGATTTCAAATAAATTTATTGGACTATAACCTGTTGTCGTATGACTTCTGACAGTCGAACACCAGCACTTTTATATATGGAAAGAAGCAGCAATAACTCTGTCTGGAAATAAGCTGTTAAGTGACAAAGACAACTGTTACATCAAAGATTGAAAGCAATTAGCCATGTCGGGAAAAAGAAGGGGCCATGGCTCCATAAACTGTTTTGACACCTGCTTGACAACTCATGCTACAAGGATAAGTGACTGCCCTGCGGAAGAATTTAAGGAGTTAATCACTAGAAAGCTGTGTCTTCAAATAGACACTTAAGGCCAAGTGTAACAAGGAACAAAGAAATTACTTCTGATAAGGAAGCAAGCTGCAGTTCAATATTTTAGATGAAAGGGATTGAAACAATCATCAATATTATGACATCATGAACCTGAAGAATGAAAAACAGAATAAGAAAACAATTCTAAAACTCTCCCTCAGCAGAACTCCAGAGAACGGCATGACACAAGGATCGAACCCTGGATGTATCCAGAGATAGATGCTTAGATCAACATTCTAATTAAGAGGACCCATAACTCTTTTGTTGCAATTTACAATCACTATTCCACTGGGCTTTGTCATATTATTTGCTGGAAGATGTAAATTAAGCTCACAATTCTGAATAAATTGTTTCAGAAATTAATTTCTGAAGTACCACATTGCACACCTAGATAATTTTATGAAGCAATCAGCAGAAAAAAGTTCTATTTTGCAACAAAATTTGTTAGCAATTTTCTTCCATTTTTATGTTTAGAATAATACCTTGTCAGTAATATTAGAATGGAAAAGGAAATCATTAAACTAATTATTAAAATCATAGGTTCTCAAAGTTTTCTTACTGTGACCATTGATTGATCCTTTCAAATATGAAGTGCTCCAAGTAGTTTCCGACAGGGCCAATCAAACTTTCCATAAATATTATTATTTTAAAAATCACGAAAGTCTAGCCAATGGTCCGGGTTACTCAGTCAATTGCAAAGGAGTAGCACTCACTGCTTAATTGAATAAAGTTGCTCACAAAACTCTAACATTCTTTTAGCTTGGACTTCCCTTTCCCAAGGTCAGTTTGAATCTGGTGCAAAGTCAACAGGATTGCCATGCATCCAGCAATTGTAATATCATCATGTTGAATAGGCAATCAATCACATTGTAGAAATTCACATAGAAGTCCAAAATGAGTACTCATTTATTTCACTTGTACTCACATTTTGCAGAAAGTGAAATAAAGAATTAAAAAAAGATGAAGAAAACAACTTTTTTAATCAAGTTAAAGTATGTAGATAACTTTTTTAATCATGCTGTGGAAATTCGACATTCCAAAATTATGAAGAGTTTTTCAAGGCCAAGGGAGATTTTTCAGCAGTAATTATGAGTGCTGTGTGGTGTGTAAAGTCTTATTCAATAATATGTAACTTTTTCAATGCTTTCTACATTGAGAATTATCGTGTAGAAAAGCATGTTCTTATCAGCTCAGTGACTTTAAATTGATTGAAATCTGAGGGATCTTCAGAAATGCTCCTCTGGAGAAAGATAGAAATACAAGCAACATATGTACAGACTCCAGACTTTGCTGTCAGTTTTAGAGACATAATGAAGGAGAAAACTGACAATTACATTGTCATTACTACAGCAACATCTGGGCTGATATATCTAGCATGTTTCTTTCGCATTGCAGTCATTCGTCTTCAAGTTGTTACCAGCATGACAAAAGACAAAAGTAGTTATTTATTGTTGTTTCTCATTACCCAGACCCAGAAAGTTTCCAAATAATTGCCAATTTCTCTCCACAATAGCAATTCGACTTTGCCCTAATAAGGGGGCGGGCCTGCTTCAGTCAGTTTCTTCGTGTAAATAGAACAAGCTGTTGCATTTTGCATGATACCATATGGAAAGTCGGTCCTTGGACAAGAGACAAGAAAAAAATCAACTTGTGCTGTGTTTGCTTGATCATTTGTTTTTCCTTCCTGGATCTATCGAACAAAAGAAAGTTGAGTAAGGTCAGGATCATGATTTGTTGAGATGTGCACCCAGAGTTAATGCATGCTGACTTGGCCAATCTTTGAAGAACTGCCATTTGCAATCACAAACCCTATAATGTGTTCTTACCTGAAAGAAAGAATGTAATGGAAGCCAATAACATTTAATGAGCATTACCATGAGATTTTGGCATAAAAATATTGTTACGTATATTGTAATACATATTCAATTTAATAGAACAGTTTTCTCAATGTGGCCTAAAAGCTAGCTTTTGTGAATAAGATATAAGTTGATATGCTGATACTGTTTAAAAGAAATTACATCTCTACTGATACATTTTAAGTTTTACATTTTAGTCAGCATGTTGAAATTGTTTAAAAAATGTGTTTTTAGTATGTCACTAATGGCAGTTCTAATTTGAAAAGAATGTCTGCGAACTGAAAATCAAATTCAAGCATGTTTTGTAATAGACATCATGCTGAGGATTTTTGTCTGGGATAATTCCTGAAGGTCTGTTTACACGCACAAACAAGTGCACATAAAAAAAATTCAGAAGCAGTGGAATGCTTCCGAAACGTAGCATTTTCTTTTAACATTGGTCTTTCACTGCAGCAATTTGTTGACAGTTCTGTGAACTAATGGAAGATGCTAATTCACTTTCCAATTCTCCTTCTGCTTTAGCAAAGCCACATGGTGCTGATGATTTCCTCCCTGTGTTAATGTACGTGCTGGCAAGGACTAACCTGACATCATTGCTTCTAGATGTGGAATATATGATGGAGCTGCTGGATCCATCATTACACTTAGGAGAAGGTAAGGTTGCATCACTTAAAGTACAATATGGTGTGCCAACAATGCTCCCTGATGGGGATTAGTGAGCAACACATGTTAAATAAATTGACTTCATTCTTTCTTTACTTTAAATTTGACTTCATAATACGAATACTTTTTTGTTATTCATTCAGGTCAGTTGGGCTCTGCTGGCTGGGCCAGCATTTAATGCCTATCCCTAATTGCCCTGGAGAAGTTGTGGTGAACTGCCTTCTTGAACTGTTGAAGTCCATTTGATGCGGGCACACACGATGGGCTGCCCATCCCTATTTGTTCATTTCATGATGATGATGATTCACCTTCTTGAGCTGTTGGAGTTAATGAGGTGTTAGGAAGGGTGGGAATTCCAGGATTTTGACCCAGTGACACTGCGAGAATGGCAATGTATTTCCAAGTCAGGATGGTCTGTGGCCTGGAGGGAATTTTGTAGGTGGTGGCGTTCCCATATAGTTGATGTACTTGTTCTTCTAAATGGGTCTGGTCATAGATTTAGAAGGGGCTGACTAAGGAGCCTTGTCACTTTCAACAACTTCCGCACACATATCCCCAGGTTCCTCTGTCCTTCCACTGCTTTAGATACTTTACTGTTTGTTTGATGTTTTCTGTCCTCATGCTTCCGCCCAAAGTTAATCACTTCTCACTTCTATTCATTAAATTTCATCTACCCATTCAACCAACCTGTCTATACCTTCTTGATGTCTATCCTGATTCTCTTCACAATTCACTATTCTTGCAGATTTCACCATTTAGAAGTGCAGAAATATTTGTTTTCTTTTCATAGTATTAAGTCTGGTCTTTATTTTCATTTTTTGCCATCAACAATGAGAGTGGACAAACATGGGGAAGGGGTGCCCTACTGATAATGTCATTGGACTAATATCCAGAACCGCAGGGCAATTCTCTGGGGACATGGGTTTGAATCCCATCGTGACAGATGATACCAACTGGGCCCTTTGAAATGACCTAGCAAGCCACTCAGTTCAAGGGCAATTAGGTTTAGGCAATGAATGCTGACTCATATCCCATGAACAAATAAAGAAAAAAAGCAACTTTAAACTTATTGGTGTTGGGAGTGAGAGTTATGTGGGTGGAAAACTTAAAATTTTCAATTGCAACATCATGTTAAATGTCAACATTTATAACATGCAATCAGTTATAGCAGTTAATAAATGTTTTTGCCAAATTAAACAAGAAACAACAATGTTTTCATTTCTAATTGAAAAATCATACTGCTCTGCTCTATCTATTTGGCAAATTCAGCTGTTTTTATGCGGTTAGCCACCCTTAAAGTTGACAGATGTTATATGTTCTCCACCATTTTACAGATTCATAAAACTACAGTCCTAGCGCCAGATAGTTGCAGAGTTAAAAAGGATAGGAGAGAACAACAAAAACCAAAAGGAAGATTTGCATTCGTATAATACTTTTTGCCACAGCCAGATGTCTTAAAATACTTCCAATGAAGTACTTTTGAAGTGCGGTTACTGTTGTAATTCAATTTGTGCACAGCATATTCCCACAAACAATGATCTATTAATGATCAGGGCACAGGAGATAAGTTACCCACACCTCTTCAAAATTATGCCATGGATTCCGTCACATCCAAGCAAGCAAGAAGGGACCTTGGTTTAACATCTCATCCAAAAGAATGCACCTTCAGCAGTGTAACACTCCCGCAATACTACACTGGAGTTTAATCCTCAAATGGGGATTGGGAACATCAAGGAAAAGAGCCCTACTATTTGAGCAAGACCTATAGAAAAGGGATAAAACATGAAGGTGGACAAGAAACCTGAGCAAACTCCTGAGATGGAGTAAATGATTTTAGAGGCAGTTAGCGGGGTTTCAGCTTTTACCTTTAGGTTGAAGAATCCACTGAAGTCATGCAGTGGCTGGTTCAGCCTGAGTGACAGCAAAAAAAAACAAGGATGCAGAGCTTCGGCTAGAAGTGAGATGGAATCATCGTGGTTGAAGAAAGAAAGATTCAGTAATTGTTTATTTGCTGGACATAACATGGAACTTCAATATGATTCAAAGGATAATGTTCGGTATTCCTTCGAAGGTTAAGACAGATAACTGTAGACATAGATATATATATATATAACTTAGTTAAGTAAATAGGGTAAAAGAGTTCATTCAGCTAAGTGGCAGTAATGAAATTAATGGACATGGGGTACTATTGATTTAAAATGATGGATAGTTTCCGCAGCGCTATGCTTTAAATGTAATTAACACAAATGCTCAGTAACGCAAATGTTAAATAACAGAAATGAAAATTAATACAATTATTTTATATAGCAATAAATCAAGTTTTGATATAACCAAGTATTGTTGTGAGTTAATGGACTTTGCTCTGTTTCAGGATATTATTACTTAACAACAACCTATGGTGCCCTAGAACATATCAAACACTATGACAAACACACTGTCACTCGCCAACTTAGTCATGAGGTCCAGGACTCAATCCACCAATGGCACAGAAGACGAACCCTGAACATGAAACAAACATCTAGGTCATCCATGCAGGTGAGTGTTACAACAGAAGCCCAGTAAATCTATAAGTAAAAAGAATCACAAATATATCGAAGATTGTGATATGTGCCGAGTATGTTATTATCCTCTAAGTAAATTTGCCATTGTCCCAGAGGACTGCGCTCTCATTGGAGAGATTTGACAGGTGGTGAGTTTCACCTGAGGTTGACCACACCTCAGCAAGGTCAGGAAGGTACAGGAAATGAATCTGTGCTGTTGGCATCATTCTGCATCACAAACCAACCAACCTGGCTAACCAACGTCCTTATTATCCTATCACCGCTGGTGGTAGAGCTTAATCCACCTTGTCAACACTTCCCCAAGGACAATTTAATCCACCAGTGCTTTAATGCATTTCTTAGATGGCAGATCATTTTTAGCAGGGGTATTGGAAGTGCAGGTGGTACCAAAGGAAAAGGAGAGAAAAGCCATCACAACCAGTGGTTAGAAGGGGTGTGCAATGAATGAAAGTGACAGCAGTGTTAATGAGAGACGAGAAGTGGTACCTGGTTGACAGGTCACGAACGTTTCAGTATCCCCACAGGAGCGGCCCCAGACTACCCATGTGAGGGGCAGGATTCTCTCCTCACATGGGGTAGGAGCCTGATTCAGGCACCCCTCTGCCCTTGCTGACTCACTCTGTCCTGTTACTGGCTGTCTTCTACAGCAGTGAGAGAAAGGAAGGAATTGAGTGAGATGAGGGTGGGTAACACAGCTGTAACTACAGGTGCAAGTCATGGGAAGATGGTGAGGTCGTTAAGCAGGCACAGAGGCCATGCAAGGGGTGGGTGAGAACCAGTAAGATATGATGTTGCAGATGACAGAGAGTTTGGAAGAGCATGAGTCTTGTTGGCAGCTGGGTGCAGTAGCAGAGAGAAGAGTGTGGTACTTAACTTGGCAGAGCAGAGAAGACTATTGACCTTCTGGTTGGCACTAACCTTGGACAAGGCTGCCAGGGTCTGATGCTCCTTTGCTGGTCCCATGGGAAGATGACAACATCCCACTTTGCACCACCCCCTTGACTATGACCTCAGGTCCTTGTCACAGTGCCATCTTCCCCTTTGCTGCATCTTCCATAAACATCCTTGACTGAGCAAGGGTAGTTTTGGAATGCCAGTGCTAGTCCAGGTACACAGCATATTGAGCATCGGGTGCAAGAGATGCCAGTCTTTCAGCAAATATCTGCTGTGTGGTGAGTTGCTCTGGGAACAGTAGGTTATAAGATAGAGCCAGAGTAGTATGTGATAGATGCCTTGGGGCAGGGTGGGTAGTTAATGAGACATGTTTAATAATATAATGGTAAGATATGGCCTCAGGGCAGAAATCTGTCCAAAAAAATCAACACCATTTAGAACTTAGCATATTTTATCTAAATGAAGATTGCAGCGCTCTGAGATGCCAAGCAATCTGCGTATCCTCATGCATGTATCATAAGGGGTTAGTATGCAGTCACAGCAAGTAATTCACAAATGAAATAGAAATATTTTTTATAGGAAGAAATTGAATTGTAAATATCGGGGTATAATGTTTCAGTTATATAGGACATTGTTGAAACCACATCTGCCGTACAGTGCACAGTATCAGTCTCCCTTCTTAAGAAAGAATGTATAAACACATTGAGGCAGTTTAGAGAATGTTTACTAGACTTGGAATAGGTGTTTCTTTTCAGTCATTCATGGTACGTGGGCATCTCTGCCTGGCTAGCATTTATTGCCCGTCCCTCGCTGTCCATGACAAGGTGGTGGTGAGCTGTTTTCTTGAAATGCTGCAGTCCACCTGCTGTGGATTGACCCACAATGTCTTTAGGGAGGGAATTCCAGGATTTTGACCCAGTGATAGTGAAGGAATGGCAACATATATCCAAGTCAGGGTGATGAGTAGCTTGGAGGGGAACTTGCAGGTGGCGGTGTTCGCATGTATCTGCTACTCTTGTCCTTCTAGATGGAACTAGTTGTGGGTTTGGAAGGTGCTGTCTAAGGATTCTTGATGAATTTCTGCATCTTGTAGATAGTACACACTGCTATTTCTGAGCATTGGTTGAGGAGGGAATGGATGTTTGTGGATGTAGTGCCAATTAAGCAGGTGCTTTGTCCTGGATGATGTCAAGCTTCTTGAGTGTTGTTGGAGCTGCACCCATCCAGGCAAGTGGGGAATATTCCCTTGACTTGGGCATTGTAGATGATGGAAAACTTTGGGGAGTCAGGAGGTGAGTTATTGGCCATAGTATCCCTAGTATCTGACCTGCTGTTGAAGCCACTGTGTTTACGTGGTGAATCCAGTTGAGTTTCTGGTCAATGGTAACCCAAGGGATGTTGATCATGGAGGACTCAGTGATGGTAACACCATTGAATGTCAAAGGGCAGTGGTTAGATTGTCTCTTTGGAGATAGTCATTGTCTGGCATTTGTATCTATTAAGGAAAGGCTGGACTGGCTATGTTTACATCTGCTGGAGCTTAGAAGAGTAGGGGTGACTGGATTGAAAAGTCCAAGATGATGAGGAGACTTGACAGGGTATGTGTGGAAACACTGTTTCCCCTGATGGGAGAATATAGAACTAGGAGTCGTTGTATAAAAATTAGGAGTTGCCCATTAGAAACAGAGATAAGGAAGTTTTATTTCTCTCAGAGGGTTCTTTGGAACTCTTCTTAAAGAGGCGGTGGAGGCAAAATTCTTGAATATTTTTAAGGCGGAGGTAGACAGATTCTTAATAAACAAAAGTGTGAAAAATTACTGGGAATATGGAGTTGAGATTAAGATCAGATCAGCTATGGCTTTATTAAAGAGTGATGCACTCCCTGATGACTAAGTGAGCTACTTTGGCACCTGTAGTCCCCTTTCACCCACATGGGGAAGTTTACACATCCAAGGGCAGTGTACTGAATGCTGTCAACTGACACAATGGTTCTCCTCCCCATTTCCTCTGCGCTGGGGCACTGAACATTCCTGAAAGTAGGAAAAACTCTCCATCAGATCCAGGCCTCATAAAGTTAAATCTGAACAATGTATCTGCCTCAAGTAATCTGTAAGTTATGACCCCGTGCACAGTAATGAAACGCTGCTGGAAATTTTGGCAGAATTCAGTTTAATCACAAGACAGAGCATAGCCTCCAAATCCAGTTGTGAGCTCAGGCTAAACACTCTTAAAAGGCTGAACTCAATTTTTGAAGCAGAAAAATCAAACCAGCCAATTATATCAAAGAGGTTTCCTGTGGGCCGCATGTGTGTCATATCTTGTGAAACAGAGGATAACCACATAATTCACAACATAATGTATAGCATGTACTTTTCAACAGAATTTTAAAGTTTGTCTGTGAGAAATAAAGCTATTTTTGAAAATTAACTGCATTAGTATTTTAGGATGCAGGCATTTAAATTGAATATTAACTCAGTTCAAAACCTAAGTAAGGAGATTATATGGTTTTAATCGGATAGGATACCATTAACTTCTCCATGGGAAATGCTATTCTCTGTCCAAGTAATCCTGCACATTTTATGGATGTTGTAACGGAATACTAAGATGTCAAGTATAAAGTCATGGGATTATAAAATATGGACAACGCAGCCTGTTCTTTTAGCCTTCACAGAAACCTCTCAGTGACCTACCTCATTTTAACCAAGCAATCGTCCATCTTGTCCAGTCACAAACTTGACAGCTTTTATGAGTAACTGAAGGACAGTGGTTTGACTAAATGAAGGAACTCTAAATTACTAGTAATTAGCAGAGACAAATTTGAGAAATAAGCAGTGTACTAGATTGACCCATTGATCTTTAAGATCCACACAGGAAATCCCCTGTTTAAGTGATCTTAATGATAGCCTTCAGAAACAGTCCTGACCTTGGCAGGAAGCTTTCCCTTTGTTTTCAGTCCAGCCCATTTCAGGGTTAGATGTGTTTACTGCTAATTTATTGTCTCATTTCTCCTTCACTTAGGAGTCCTTTGATAGTTGGCAAATGTCCAAATTGAGAAACAACTAGAATATGTTGGCAGGGACAATAGCCGAATCCAATCTGTGCTGTGTGAGCATTGAAAAAAATGTTAACGTTAGGTGCAGCAGTTAAATCATCCACAGATGACCTTTAAATGGAAAGATTTCTAATGCAGAGGAAAAAGACTTTAGTGTGACACACAGTGATTTGTGGCTAGGTCTGCCTCAAAACAATATACAAACAGTTGCCTCCAGCATTTCACTTATTTGAAAGAAGGGATGTACATACATGTCACTTCCTGCTTATTATAAATAATGAACAGTAGATTTGTTGAAGAAACAACTGAAGTCTCAATGTGGAAAATTTGAGTATTTGAATTGAATTTAATTTAATTAGCTTTATTGTCACACGTACTGACATGAATACAGTGAAAAGTTTACGAGTCACCACTTATGACGCCATCTTAGGTACAAGGTACCTAGGTACAGATTCTTCAGTACAAATTTTTAGGGGAAAAAAGTAGAAAAATAAAGAAATATAAAGTCTATTGTTAGAGATCATAGGAATAAATTAGAAAATAGAAAATTGAACAACATTTTTGCAAACCCAGTCCATGCTGGCGCCCAGGCTCCAGTCATCACTGGGCCTTGACTCCAGTGTTGGATTTGTGTTAGATTCAATTGACTGTAACTGCAGAATGTTACAATTTTAATTTGAGATTAATTTAGGGTCAGGCTGCTCCTAATCTCCTGATCAGCAGCAATTCAGGGCCTCAAACTGTCAAGACTCTGTTTGCATCCAGCTGGGTTTTCCAGTCTCGGCTACAGCATCGACGTTTTTGTGCAGCCATTCAATGGGCAAGGACAGTGAACAGGAACAGCACAGAGGGCATACCCCTTTTATTTACCACATCAGCTCCAGCATTCAGGGAAGAGCTCAAAGCTGTCAGAGGGGCATTGCCAGTTGTGTTGGAGTGGCCAAGGGTGAGCAGTCATGTCAGGAGTTTGCAGCGGGCTGTTGTTTGGAAGGTTCTCAGTGGTGGATGTTAAGTAAAGGGATGTGGGTTAGTCGCATTGGGGATTACGGGGGGGCGGGTGTTGGATTGTTGGCTGGGGCCTCTGAGTGGTAGGCCATCAGCTTGAGAGGGTTCGGGGTATTAAGTGATCAGGTCGGGGTGGGGCTCGGTGAGGGTTTCTGCACTGACAAGCAATGAGTTCCAAACTCTCCCCACCCTCTGGGTGAAACAAAAACCATTTTTCTCATGTCCCCTCCTGCCTCATACAGAAAATCTACGCTCTCCAGTAATTGATCCCTTCACCAAGCGGAGAGGTGCCTTCCTGTCTAACCTTTCTATGCCCCTCATAAATTTATGCATTTCAATCGTCCTCAACCTCCACCTCAGTCCCATCTGTTCCAGAAAAACAACCCCAGTCCATCTAACCTGTCTTGTTAATGCTTTGGAAGCAGTTCAGAGAAGTTTTACCAGTCTAATACCTGGCAGATTATATTATGAAGAAAGGCAAGATCTGTATCTTTTGCAGCGTAGAAGAGATAGACGTGACTTAACTGAAACATATGAGATCCTGAGGCAATTACATGCAATTAGATGTGTAAAGGATGTTTCCTCTCATTAGAGAACCTGGAAGTAGATTTTCAGAGATTCTAGTAATAAGGGGTCTATCTTATATGAAGAGAAATTGAGCAGTTTAGGCCTATACCCACTGGAGTTTAGAAGAATGAAAGGAGATCTAATTGAGGAATATAAGATGCTAAGGGGAATTGACAAAGTTGATATACAAAGGATGTTTACTCATATGGGGCAATCTAGAACGAGAGATCATGGTTTTAGGGATAAGTGATAACAGATTTAAGACACGAGATTAGGAGAAATTAATTCTCTCAAAAGGTCATAAATCTGTGTAATTCATTACCCCTGGGTGTGATGGATGCTGGGAATTTGAGTAAATACGAACAGGAGATTGACAGATTTTTAATTAGTAATGGGATGAAGGAGAGCAGGCAGGAGAGTGGGGCTGATGCTGAGATAAGATCAGCCATCATCATATGAAATGAAGCAGCAGACGGCTTGAAGGGCTGAAAGGCCCCCCTGTTTCTAATTCTTGTGTTCTTATGTTTAAAAATAAGGGGTCACCAATTTAAGACAGAGATGAGGAAAAATATTCTCTCAGAGGGTTGTGAGTCTTTGTAATTCTCTTCCTGAAAAGGCAGTGGATGCAAAATCTTTAAATTTCATAAGTTAGAGGGAGATAGATTCTCAATTACTGATGGAGGACAGATTTTCGGGGTATGAAGGAATGTAGAGTCAAAATTAAAATTAGATTTGCCGAATCTTATTAAATGGCAGAGCAGGCTTAAAGGGCTGAATGGCCCACTCTTGCTCCTTGTTCATATGTGCGTACATTTGAGTGACGCCAGTAATCACTGAGGCACGCCAGGGATCAAGCAATGTAAGAACTGCAGAGTAAGGGTCACATCGCTAACCCAAGTCTCCGACACTGAGCTCAGAGATAGTTGCAGAAGACCTTACATAGTTTAGATCAGGACATCAGAAGTTTCAACTTTCTAGACAACTCTATTGCAGCTGCTCCATGTCAAGATTCCCCTGAGGTCCTGAAGTGTAACAGCTGTAATCATTTATGTATGAAAGGCATCGCCTTCTTGGCAGAGTCTTGGACCTATTCATTTCCACGTAAGCTTTTCAACCTTTGTTGAAAGGCTGTCTGTGCACGGGGCAAGAATTACATTTTATATTGCAGCTTTGCAAGATGACAAAGCTATCTTCCTCATATGTGTTCCTTCATACTTCTGTCCATCGAAAAATCCATTTGACTGTGAGGAATAATAGATGCTGTAGTGTGGACCTGTTGTTCACAAGGTCACCACATGGAGAGTTTGCCCTGTGTTAATTCAGTAGGGTGTGAGTCAGGCCAACACTTGGGGCAGTAAAACTGGTATCAGTCTCTCCCATCATGATTTGAAATAAGAAGATTCCTCTGGACTCCAGCTCCTCCTTGTTTTCTAGAGCTTATCACTTGTCCCTGTCAAGAGTAGTTTTTGTTTGAAAATGAATGAATGATCACTTCAAGACAGACAAATTTCTATAAGATGTTGATATTTCTAACCAGAGACATTATTACACACCTCAGGTGCAAGTGGGACTTGAACCTAGGTCCCCAAGCTCAGAGGTAGGGATACTACCACCGCACCATGAGAGCCCTTATTATGAGATGCTATTCTAGTTACAGTTTAGGGCTCCCTCTGCTGGCCAGAACTGCAACAGCTTGCTCCAATTATGCCTTAATTTGTTTCCAGTGATTTTTATATATAATCCTTTTTGTCTTTTTGTAGGATTTCCTGAGTATACACTTTTTAGAGCTTGGATCTAATGTCAAAACGTTTGCCATAAGCTCAGAGACAACCGCAGAGAAGCTGTCCAGTCAGTGTGCCGAAAAGTTTGGCATCTCAGAGACTGAGGACTACTGCTTGCATCTTGTCGTGGAGCAGAGGAGCCTGAAGCTTGCTGCTGACGCGATGCCTCACTGCCTCAAGAACATCCTTCACAAGAGCCAGCCACAAAAGGACTATTATTTTGTATATAAGCAGATCGACCTGTCGGAGCAAGCAACAAACCCACCAATAAAGAACCTCCCGACCTTTTGACTTTCTTATAATGAAATGATAGAGCTGCGTTATTTTTCTGAGAATTAAGAGAGGAAAAGGATGCAGTATTTTGCATGAAAATGTTTGGAGACTAACATGAAAGCCGGAAATCCTGGAAATTCACAGCAGCCCAGTGAGCAGCTGAAGAGGTGATCTAACCCTTTATCAAGGCTTCAACTTATTTTTCTTGTTAGTTTAGGAATTATTAAGTATTTCTGGTTTTTCTCCTCGATATTTTTGAATGTTTTTAAAACAATACTATTTATACGTTTTCTATGATTATATTTGTCTTTGGGGCACTACTTCCCTTGTTTCCTGTCTCTATTATTGTAAATGGAAACTCAATGAGGGGAGCATTTGACAGTCTGTCAAAGGTAGACTTGAGTGTACTAAAACTTAAAGAAATGGTGTGAGAAATACATGTTTGAAACTAATTTTATGGTTGCCTCAAAGATTTTGGTCCAATCACAGAAAATGACAGCACGACTAAAGTGCCAGTCTGTGGTCTTTATGGATATGCAGTCCCAGTCCTGTCTTTGTTAGTGCAACAGGGATTGGCTGTGTGATCATCAGGCAGTGAATGATCATCTGATCCCTGGAGATAAATCTGTTTGTTTGAGTGGTAATGTGTCTAGGTGAGCAGTGATGCTAACATGTCAGATAAGAAACTACCTTGTGGCCTGCTGCTAGCAATGTGATTCACAAAGTATTCATAGCTTGGTGAGAAACAAGAGGGCCAAGGCCATAAATGTATTTGAATCAGAGGATTAGAAATAAAAATCGAGGCATTGGTGGATTTGCGTGCACATAGCTGATGAGTGAACAGATTAAGGTATGGGAACGTAGATTTGAATGAGTTATGGTTTTTGAAACATGGAAGATGGTAGGTTAGTCAGGAGAGAATTGGTTTTGTCAAATCTGGGTTTAACTAAATATTGGATGAAGATGGCAGATATGCCCAATCAGGCAGAGATGGCCATTGTTGTACAGTTACATGTGACTACTTTTTGTCAACCCTGTTCTATTGTGGTATTTCACATGTTAATGAACAAGCAATGACCAAACCTTCACTTTTAAAATCTAATGCAAGGTGGCCATGCACACTTAGCAAAATTATGAATTTCACTCGATTGCATTGGATTGTAACTATTAGGAAGCATCTTTTGCTGAAAGTAAAGTATTATCAAACAACTCTCTGATATAAAAGCCAAAAGAATTGTGGATGCTGTAAATCAGGAACAAAAACAAAGTTGCTGGAGAAGCTCAACAGGTCTGGCAGCATCTGTGAAGGAAAAAACAGAGTTAACGTTTCGGGTCCAGTGACCCTTCCTCAGAACTCTCTGATATGTTTATTGCTGTCTGTTTAAAGCAAACAAATTATTGGAATGAGTGGCATAGGCTATGGATAACCTTTTCACGATGTCAGCTATTCAGCTGTTCCAGAGTCAACAAACATCACAAGGTGCATTGTAAAGGGGGGTTAACACATGAAACAGGCAGCAATCCGACCATCCACAGGAGATCCCCTTTAGAATGGTGCTGGCTAAAATATTGGGGGAGCTAAGTTGTCAGACCCCAGTTGAGGTTGTTGCTGCACAGTTTATGTCCACTTGAACAATTAAAATCAACCCCTATCATTTATGAAAATGTAAAAGAAATATGTGACACTTGACCATCAATATTTGTCTCAAACCTAAGTTTGTGCATTTCACAAGACGGGATAATGCATTGCACATGCAGTGAGAGTGGGATATGCACTGAAAGAGATGGGAAAATGGTTGTATACTTCACATGATGGTGGAGTGGGTGCATACTGTAAACAGTGGGGGAGTCAGTATATACATGATGGGGTGTGGGTATGTACTGTACACAGTGGGGCAGTGGGTGTATACACAATGGGGAATGGGTGTATACTGTGCATGATGGGGGAATGGTTGTAAACACAATGGGGGAGTAAGTGCATACTGTGCATGATGGAGTGGGTTTATACATGACGGGGGAGTGGGTGTGCACTGTACACAGTGGGGGAGTTAGTGTATAGATGGTGGGGGAGTGGGTGTATACACAATGGGGGAGTGGGTGTACACTGACAAGATGGGGGAGTGGCTGCATACACGATGGGGGAGCGGGTAGATACACGTTGGGGGATGGGGTGTGTATGTGATGGGGGAATGGGTGTATACACGATGGGGGAGTGGGTAGATACACGTTGGGG